ACTCACAAACCCTATGTAGTTCCCTTACAAACCCCAGTTTGGGAAATCCTGTCTTTCAGTTCACCCAAAAATGAAAATTCTTTTAATAGTTTACTCACCCTCATATTGTTTGAAACCCATGTGATTGTATTTCTTCCATGGAAAAAACAAAGCAGATGTTCTTTTTCATACAGTGAACATGAATAGTGACCAGGGTCTTTCAAGCTTAAAAAATTACAAAAAGCTCAAAAAAGGACCATAAATGTAGTCCATAAGACTCATTCACTATATTTGAAGAACCTTGAATTGATATGATGAGATGACGGTGAATAAATGATGACAGAATTTTCATGTTTGGGTTTGCTTGTGCTTTTCAAGCTCGCAACATGCACTGAATATGTTGCTTTTGTTATCAGTAATTTTTCAAATGTTTTGCCAATGCAGTACATTTAATTCACTGTAGTATTTGTCCTTTTATGCATATATCCAACAGTTCTGTCACACAGAGACAAATTTCTGTTAGCTTAACAACACAGATCAATTTTCCACTGCTAACTGAAAAGCTGCAGTTCGTCAACAGACCATCAAAAAGCGTTTTGTGTAAAAAGGATCACAAAGCCTGCGGTTTTCACATGACGTTCATTTTCTCAGATTCTTCATCTAACGAGAGTCTCTCTATCTCGTAATATATCTGGTCTCATTGATTTTCTCTCTTGGGTTCAAGCGATTCTCTGATGGTGTCAGAGTGCGGCGTCCGGCGCGTTTGGCCCCTCCGAGCATCTGCAAACCGCAGCCAGCGTTCAGCCGTCAGGAGATTGATTGTGACAGACTTTTAAACAGTACACAACTAAATATAGCGGGCTACAGCACTATCAGAAAATGAGCTAGGAGTGCGGGCCTAGTCGTTTAGAAAGTCATTATTCTTATCGTTTGCTGTCTCTGAAATTATTTCAGGTCTCTTCATGCAATGAATGCAGTATAATAAGCCAAACATGTGCAAAGGGCTTGAACTTTGGTAATCGAAGCAGGGCGGTGAAGTAGCCTTTTAAAACATGACTCTGATGCAAGGATCCACTGGATTGGGACACATTTCATGAATCTGTTAAATGTCTTTCTTGTGAATATGGTAATCATCCAGTATCCTGGGATTATCTTTTGATTTAACTAGAAGAAAAATGAGTTTTAATAGCTTTAGGAGCTATTTCTCATAGATCTGACCCTTAAACATAACTTAAACTGATGCATCCTGATGTAACATAATTTAAACGGATGCATCCTTGATTCACACATAGTAAATCAAATTTTTTGATATTTGTGATGAAACCAGGACATTAAGATATTACCTCAAGGTTTGGATAGATACCAGCATACAATTCTAGTCTCTCATACCATGTAAAAATACTAAGTTGAGATATCAGTGTTTTAATTTAATGTCACTCATTAGTGATGAATCATAATTTTTCTCATTAATGCATTAAAAATAGTAATCTGTAAGTGTAGGTCTGGTAATTCATTTGAATGACAAATGTACAAATACAAATATGTGGAGCTGTGTAAAAAAAATAGATTATTTCATATTTGTTGTGATTTAATTGTAATTAACTTGCCTCATAGAAAGAGTGCAAATTAATTTACTTTTGTTAAATATTCTATCTGAATTTGATTTATAACCAATTACCGTTACAATGTGAAGTTAATTAGTACTGAACTGAAATAAAGAAATTAATACTTTTATTCAGCACGGATGCATTAAATTGATTAAAAGTGACAGTAAAGACATTTATAATGCAAAGATTTCTATTTCAAATAAATTTTGTTCTTTTGAATTTTCTGTTCATCAAAGAAAAAAATTTATCACAGTTTTAACAAAAATATAAAGCATCACAACTGTTTTCAGCATCATTATTCAGCACCAAATCAGCATATTGGAATGATTTCTGAAGGATCACGTGACACTAAAGACTGGAGTAAAAATGCTGAAAATCCAGCTTTGCAAATTACATTTGAAAATATATTCAAATAGAAAACAGATATTTTAAATTCTAATAATATTTCACAATATTATGGTTTTTACTGTATTTTTGATCAAATAAATGCAGCCATGGCGAGCTTAAGAGACTTCTTTCAAAAACATTTAAAAAATCTTACCGACCACAAACTTTTGAAGGGTAGTATATCATTTTTACAGTGTACCATCACCTTTTTTGTATTTCTAGAGTCATTTAAAGACATTTAAAGCTGTGGTTGATGGTTTTTCAGGACACCTTCCCCTCAGCTTTTGTTGTTTTCAGAAACCCGTCTCCCAGCCGCTCCTCATCCTCTCAGAGAGAAGTGACAGGCCTCAGCAGTTCAGAGCGGCTGATATCTCTCTGCCCATCTGCTTTTAGCATATTGAGATGTATTGAGCGAACGCGAGGTGCCGCTTCCCTCCGTGAGCCGGTGAAACGCGATTAGATCATAAAACTGTAGCCTAATTTAAACGCCGGCTCTCCAGTGCTTCACACCGTGTCTATTAGAGATCTGTGCGCTAATTCTTTTCATGTAGCATGAGTCCTGCAGATGTAGCGCACTATAAAGGAGTCATTTAGCAGTCTTAATGAACAGAGACGGCCGTTTGGAATATATTTCAAAATTTAATTTATTTCTCTAAATGGCATTTTTCACAATTATTTGAATAGAAAGTTCGAAAAGTTTGAATAAGAAATCTTTTGTTACTTTATAAATGTATTTACTGTAACGTTTGATCAATTTAATGCAACCTTACTTAAAGTAAAGTAAAAGTATCTTACTGACCCCAAACTTTTGAAAGGAAGTGTATACAACAAAGTATTGGTGCTAAATGCATTGAATATTAATTAAATATTTATTTTTAATTTTTAGGGAGAGAAAATCTTTTTCAAATGTGGCAGTCTGACCTCCCCCCCCATACAATTTTAGGTGCAAGGAATTCAACCAATGCCCTTGATTGTAGCAAAATCATAATATGCAAATACCCCCCCACAAAAAAAAAGGTTCAGCTACAGGCTAAAGTCAAGAAATCATTTAGATTTAAAGAAATAACATTGCACAGAGCAGAGAAAAAAATTAATCATTCGGAAAAATGTCTCCTTTAAGATTGCACCGGTGTATTACCTGGAGGCATGAAATGTAAATGGAAAATCAACATTGTATCCTGTGATAAGGCGGACAAATTAATAAAGGCATTTTCTGTCCTCCGCTCCTGCTGACGCCGGTGTTAAAAGTCAGTAGGTCGTGCGAGAGGAACTTTTCTCGCACAGTGCTCGACGCTGCTCTGTGCAGGAAGAAAGGGCTCTTCACGGAATTTATTGCTTTATTAAAGTGAGCACCTCGACTGTTACAAACGAACAAAATGACACGTTAAGTGGTGTACTTAGGATGTCAACTTCCCTAACTTGAGAATATATAGGAATTTTGACATGCATGCAAAAGGTTAGTTGTGCTTATAATGGTTTGATATAGAAACTAAAAGTAAGTAAGCAAAATTTTTTACATTTCCTGAATTTTTTGGCATTTTGGATGGTTGCAAAGTGTTCTGAGTGGTTGTACGCATGTTAGCATATGCAGTTGCTATGCTGTTCCAGGTGGTTTGTAGGGCATTGCTAGGTATTAATATTATAATGTATTTTTTAAAATTTTCTAACCCTAAGTATGATTGATAATAAAAGTAGTATGTGCTATATAATACTGAGAGATACACTGCTATTTTTTTTTATATATTTTTGAAAGAAACCTCATATGCTCACCAATGCTGCATTTATTTGAAAAAAAAAAAGTAAAATTGTGAAAATATTCTTGCAATTCAAAATAACTGTTTTTGTTTTAAAAGATTTTAAAATGTAATTTATTCCTGCGAATGAAAAGCTGAATTTGAGAAGCGGCAGCGCTCCACACGTGCAGCAGCGGTCATGAGGATATTCAGTCAAGTGGGCCACAGGAAACACTTTCCTGAGGAGAGATTATGTTATGAATACTAGTGTACAGCATACTGTGCAGCATATACTGTATGCTGCCTACTTTTTCACAAAATTATTATAGGAAAAAGTATTCAGTATGCAGCAATACAGCTACATTTTTGCATGTGCATTTCAGAGAATGCCGGCCAGTTGTCATCTAGGAAATAATTATTCATTCCTTTCATTCCAGTTTTGTGTAAAAAAAAAAAAAAAAAAAAAAAATCTTGACTTTTGGTGGTCTGATCAAATAATGAGTCCAACAAAATATATTGCTTTTCGTTTCGGAAATAACAGGTCAAGTTGAGTGCATTGCATTGTGGGATACAGTATGCAAATATGAAATTTAGTCTGTACACAAACTGCTTTCTGGAAAACTAGTTTGTGTTGTAGCATTTCATTTTGAGCATAGGCATTGTTTGATATTGCAAAATTAGTGCAAATGCAGTTTTGTATAGCGACATTGAGTGGCTTTGTTTCAAAATCTACAGTAGCAAGCATCCTAACTGAAGTAGAACCTCAAAAGTGACTTGGATTTGGACAATATAGAAATAGTGCTTATGGAAAGAGCACGATTGACTTCAATGGCTTTTGATGTTAGCGTGTTGCTAAGTGAACAATGCAATTATGTAATAAGAATAAAAGTACATAGCATACAAATATTGGGACATATAGTGTGTTTTTACTTAACTAAATGATCTGTATCAGTAATATTATCAGTAATACAAGTGCTGAATCATATCTTACTGATATTTCTTTTCCTTTGACCGCCATCTTGGATGGATTTTTTTCACTGCATTGCATTATGGGATTGTCTTTTCCACAAAGCATACATGCTATTCTGTATCAAAATGTGGCCAAAATGAGGTTGACTAAAAATGGATGTAGAAACAGTTTTCACCCAGAAATGCAGTGTATTTTAGAAGGTAGCGTAATTTTGGAGTGTCTTTCACATGTTCCTGATACATGTGCTGTACAATTGTAAGTGTTCCTGCTTGGCAGCGTCTCACTTACGACAAACTATTTGATTGTGCTGTGTTCTGTGTGTAGGTCCACTAGATGGAGGTCTGGAGGAGGAAGAGGAGGAGTGTATATCAGACGCGAATGAACTTACTGCTAAAGAGGAGTTTTCAGTGGAGGAAAACTTTCCTGCTGACTTTGAACCAGACAACCTCACCTGTGAGGACATGGAGTACTTCTGCAGCAAAGGTCAGATATTCCTGACGCTTCTACTTCCATGTATAGAGCGACCTCTCATGTAGAAGATCTACAAACCAAGGAAGTGTTTAGATATTCATTGCAGTGCATATCCTTGTGAAACGAATAGTAGCTTAGCATTCGAAGAAATTAAGTTTTGCTAATTGATTCCCAGCTGAAGTCTGACTCGGAGGTGTCTCTGATCACCGGTTTGATGGCAGTTTTAAACCAAAGCATGAACACACACTGTTTTGGCCGGGCTCGTAGAAGCGTGGGAAAAACTCCAGCAACCTCTGCATCCAGGTTTGGATAGGCTCCCTTCGATATCCGATTCTCACTATGTACCTGAAAACTGGAGTTTGATCTAGGGAAATGGCAACCAGTGCGCTGGCTAACCTTAAGTCATATTCCAGGCAGGATTTACCATGGGGAGCAAAACATACTTGAGCTTTTATCACTTAAAGATAAAGGCACAGTTCACCCAAAAATAAACATTCTGTCATTGTTTACTCACCTTTATGTTGTTCCAAACCTGTATGAATTTATACATACAAATAATGAGATGTTTAGCAGAATGTTAATGCTGGTCTTCTTCATGCAAATGTGGATTGGTACAGAAGCTGGCAAGTTTTGAAAATGAATAGAAGGCACCATAAAAGTTGTCTATATGACTTATGTGCTATATTTCAATTCTTCTAAAGTCATACTCATTGGTTCATGTCTGTCTCATGGTCAGTATTGATGTTAAACATGATATAATGCGTCTTGAGACTTTAAAGCTGCAGTGGAGGGGACACTCTTTTTATGGTGCTTAAATTATGACAGAATTCAGACACACACTACTATTCAAAAGTCTGAGGTCAGTATTTTTGAGGTCAGTAAGAAAGAAAGTTATACTTTTATTCAGCAAAGATGCATTCAGTTAATCAGAAGTGACATTAAAGACATTTATAATGTTACAAAAGATAAAAATGTAAACAAATGCTGTTCTGAACTTTCTATTCATGAAAGAATCCTGAAAAATATATCACAGTTTCCACAAAAATATTAATAAGCACGACTATGTTTAGCATAATAAGAAGAAATGTTTCTTGAGCAGCAAATCAGCAGTCTCGAGTAATGATGCTGAAAATTCATTTTTGCATCACAGGAATCAAATACATTTTAAAATATATTAAAAAAAGAAAACATTCATTTTAAATTGTAATCATATTTCACAATATTACTGTTTTTACTGCGGTTTTGATCAAATAAATGTAGCCTTGGTGAGCATCAGAGACTTCTTTGAAAAACATTAAAATCTTGCTGACACCAAACTTTTGTAAATAATGTACACACTCTCTGAAATGTGCCAGGGCTTCATAGTTCAGTTCTTTTAAAGTCAGTTTTATTTTTCAGGTCAATTTCTGTCGGTGTATCAACAGTTTGAAAAGAATCTTGCAGAACAATTAGGATAACCTAAAGCGTTGACATGTTGATATTGACATGTTGATATTGACATGTTGATATACATGTTAGCATTTGGTTTAATAGCACATGCATTTAAGTATGTACAAGAGTACAGCACACTTACAATGTGTTGGTTAAGCATTAGCATCTGCGTTTGCCGGGTGTTTTTGGCCTGATGTTTGTCTTGTGCCAGTTCAGTCAGTTTGTGCCTTTTTTGTGATCTTTCTATTCCTTTTATGTATTGGTCACACATGACTAATTTGCAGTGTTTTAGTTCAAAGTTATGAGGATGTCTGGACCCCCAGAACACATGCAATGTCATCCACCCCTCAAGAGACCCTTCTAGGGATTCTCAATTCTTGCTTTACTGTTCATTGAGAGGAATCCGACTGAGTTTGTGCTTTGAATGTCCCTCTGCCTCAAACAGAAATGTTTTTAAATCACGTTTCTTTTAAAACCCACATTGCCCAGAGGGATTTCATACAAGGTTTGTCTTTGAGGAGTAGAATCTTTTTATGTCTTACACAAGGTGGGCTCTGTTTTAATGATTTTCCTTTTGTTCTACCCATAAAGGTATAACAGGCGTGACATGCGTGAACCTTAGAACTAATGGCAGTTTGGTAATATTTGGTTTCGGGGTCAAATGAAAATCTTCATATGTGCTTTTGTTTCCCGCTGCTTGATTGAATGTGCTTGGAGAAGGCCTGCTGATGAATACAGTTTTACTTTGTTTTGTTTGTGGAGCTTTAATTCAGATTCTCAAGGGATAAAATACAGTATTGAGATGCTACATTCAATTACTATTACTAAAAGATCCCAAGGTCGTTTCTTCTCTTTAGAAATGAATTAGGAAAAATGCAGACATCGTGTATAGTAGATGTCTATATACAGGTGCATCTCAATAAATTAGAATGTCGTGGAAAAGTTCATTTATTTCAGTAATTCAACTCAAATTGTGAAACTTGTGTATTAAATAAATTCAATGCACACAGACTGAAGTAGTTTAAGTCTTTGGTTCTTTTAATTGTGATGATTTTGGCTCACATTTAACAAAAACCCACCAACTCACTATCTCAACAAATTAGAATACTCCATAAGACCAATAAAAAAAAACATTTTTAATGAATTGTTGGCCTTCTGGAAAGTATGTCCATTTACTGTACATGTACTCAATACATGGTAGGGGCTCCTTTTGCTTTAATTACCGCCTCAATTCGGCGTGGCATGGAGGGGATCAGTTTGTGGCACTGCTGAGGTGGTATGGAAGCCCAGGTTTCTTTGACAGTGGCCTTCAGCTCATCTGCATTTTTTGGTCTCTTGTTTCTCATTTTCCTCTTGACAATACCCCATAGATTCTCTATGGGGTTCAGGTCTGGTTTTTGTTAAATGTGAGCCAAAATCATCACAATTAAAAGAACCAAAGACTTAAACTACTTCAGTCTGTGTGCATTGAATTTATTTAATACACGAGTTTCACAATTTGAGTTGAATTACTGAAATAAATGAACTTTTCCACGACATTCTAATTTATTGAGATGCACCTGTAAATGTGTTTTCATTAAACTCATGGGATTTATGAAAGAACTGCTTTGGTGAATCTAAAGATTCAATATAAGTAATCAAATGAGCCCTTAAATTACAATACGTACAACTTACAAATTACAACTTTGTTACCATTTTTTTATTAACATGATAATATTTATTTTTACGTTTTTGTTTCGTTTTATTTGTTTATTTACTATATATTTACTATTTTTATCTTTAATAATTATGTTTTAATTTCTGCATATAGTACATTTTTGTATTTTTAATGTGTTTTGGACATGGTATTCTTTTAAGTATTTTGGAGTACTATGGAAATACTATCAGTCCTATGGGAAATATTGCAGCAACACAATACTATTTTGTAAGGCTTGGATCAGGGCAGTTTTTGAGTATGTACTTGTATCAAAGCCATTCGATGGCCTCTTTTGTCTCAAGTTTTAGCAAATCTCCTCTTTAAAGATTCCTTTGAACTTTTTGATGGCTTTGCTAAAACTAAGACCACCAGTGGTCCAAACTTTCAACTCGTTTACTTCTGAGATGCTTTAGTAATCTTCCCGTCGTCATATGCGAGGGGTTTGCGTCAGATTTCTCAAGCTCCCTATCAGCTGCAATTCGGCTCTAAGTCTTCCGTGTCCTCGAATTCTTCGGACAAGTTCCCATTCTCTTCCCGTTAACGCACAGTACAAGCTCATCAGGTGTATTCATTTCCCCCTGATCCTCTGCTCAATTAGATCTCTTTAAAGCGCATTTAGCCCAGCGTCTGAGTGGCTTAAATTCACTCCACTTATGCAGAAGTGCTATGAATTGAAGTCAAACGCAATCCTGGTGGCATTAAATGGTTTATGTGTGTTATTCCTCAGCTATAGGACGGCAGAGAGGGTTCTCTTGATTAAGTAAACCCTCTCAAATGAGATGGCGGGCTGTAATTAGCCAGAGCGGAATCAAACGTCGGAGCTTTAAAAAGCAGTCACTCATCCCTGGGCCTTTATCTGTTCTGGAGAATAAGGTCTCCTGTGTGAAGTTCCTCGCTGGCAGGCGGTTGCTCCACGGCTGGCTCGTAGTTCAGTGGTCGTGTATCTTTGTCGGCATTTGCCGACAACTAGCTTGTCAGGAGAACCTAAAACCTCCATTAAATGTTTCATCCTATAATAGGTATTAAAAAGCTGTCTGAAAAAAACGAGGAATCGCCCGTCTTCATTAACTCACCAAGTCCTTATTAACTTTGATCGGACGACGGTGAAGTAGCAAAGAAGCTTAAATTCACAGAGGTCAGGCGGATGCACGTCAACAAAGTCTCACCCATTTGCTTTAGTCTGAATCTGTTGCTCCTTGCAGCTCATGGTTTGAAATGGAATTAACCAGAATTGTTAAGAGAAATCCGAATTGGTAAATGCCTTACGATTCCCATGCCTAGTCATATGGGCTAAAGATCCAGACATTCAGCCCATACGAATAGGGATGGGAATCATAAGGTACTATTCCTAACATTTAAGCTTCCTTAAAGGTTCCATTGATGATTCTTTTGAGAAATAAACTAAAAATCTGTTAATAAGAATAATTTGCTTGGAAATTGGACAACACTGGTCGCACTATATGTTTTTACGGCAAGAACGGGCATGTAATGAAAATATTTTGATTTCGGTATTTTTTTTTTTATTGAACCTGACAAGAACCACTTATTCACAAGTACTTGATTCACTTAAAAGAATTGGCTAATAAGAGTCAATTGTTCAGTAATCGGATTACACTTGTTGCTCTGTCCTGTATGTTCCCTCTGCATTAGCAGCGTATTGCCCATTGAAGAACCAATTCATAATGAAAATACATTAATTTTAGTTTTTTTAAAAATCAAACTGTATAAGAATTGGTTCTTATTCATAAGTATTTGATTCGCTATAAAGAAGTGGCTCATAAGAGTCATTTGTTCAGTAATTGGATTACACTTGTTGTGCTGTACTGTATGTTTCTACGATGTTCCTTCTGCATTAGCAGCATGTTGCACATTCGAGCGCCGTTAC